GCTGGGAGCCATGCTTTGAAAACCACTAGTAGTAAAGGCTGCTGGGTTATGACCTCTATTTTCTAAATGAGGAAGTCAAGGCCTGAGAGGACCTTGCTTGGGGTCCCACTGTGACTCAGCAGCAGGCAGTCACTGCCTCTGGGATCTGGAGGGCAGGTATTGCCTACTCCATCCCCAACAGCAGGGACCTACCAAGTGGCCATGGGAAGGAAGTGACTGCCACCCTCTGGCCAGGAACAGTAATGCCCCGGGCTGGTGGCTCCACTGCTGTGGCCAGTGTCTCCCAGCCTGCAGCCTGCCCAGGGACCCAGGTTGCAGGGTAGGAAGCCAGTTTCTGGAGGCTTCCTGGCTCAGCATCCCTGGACCAGCTGTAGAAGGAGCAACAGGGCCCCTGTGAGTTTGGATGTGAACCCAGACTCCTGCTTCTGCCCCATAACAGTCCTGTCCCCACCCTGTCATCCACACCTTTCTTCCCTCTGATCTCCTATCCCTCACCTTCCCCTCTCCTAACACTGTGGAACTGGGAATGAAAAAAGAAATAGCCATCTAATTCATCCATGGTTTCATCCTTAGTCTGCAGCTTGCTGGCTGAGCAAGCCTAGAAGTCACTTCACCTCCCTAGGGTCAGCTTCCCTGATTAGTCCCTAGAGAGACTCATTCCCCATGCACCAAGGCATGGAGTTAACCCATGTGCCGCAACGTTACCAGTGTTCTGTGCGATCGTGCACTCTGTGCACGGCTCAGGCCTTATGTGCACCCTTGTAGCTCTCCAAGTGTTTAAAAGCCCGATAAAAATATGGACATACTGGGGTCTCCAGAGTGGGATTTACGTACCCCAGATGGTGAGCAAGACCATCCACTGGGGCATGGGGAGAAAACAGTATATCTTCTGGTTATATTTATCTCATTCTTCTTAAATTCTATGTTTGTATTTGTTTTATCATATGAATATATTGGAACAATACTTACACATCATTTATAAGTGATGCTCACATACAGGGAGCATGTTTTTAATGATAGGTATGTGGGCTCACTGCTTTAGAAGGGTCCCCATAACATCCTACAAGTTTGCTTGTGAGGAAATGCCCAGAATAGATCATTTCTAGGTGATGTCTGGGAACTGCCCTGCTATTAGCTTCAGAAATACAAATGCCCCTAGCTGTCCAGGGAGTGAAAGGAGGAGATCTTGGGGCTTTCATGGCCTTCTGTGTTTGTGGCTTCACAGAAAAACAAGAGTAATAAAATTGAACATTTATTTCTTCATGTCAGTCCTAAAAGGAAGGTGCTATTATCCCCATCTTAGAGATAAGGAAATGAGGCCCAGTGAGGTTAAATAATTCACACAGAGTCGAGCCGCCAAGACTGGACTCAGGCCTTCTGGACCCAAAACCCAAGATGTTCAACCCCTATGTGCCCAACCTGCAAACCAGAAGGGCCTGGGGGCTTGTCTGTGGGGGCAAGAAGGACAGACAAAGGTTCAGTCATCCAAGAGTGGGAGAGCCCCGAGGGCAGAGAGTCCACTGAGATATTGCGGCCCACAGGAGGGAGGAGAGTCAGGGAAGGCCCCTGGGGGAGGGCAGACACGGTGGGTCTCTGACCTCAGGCTTGGCCGGACAGGGTTCTGAGGAACTCCACAGTGGGCCCCCCAGGGCAGGCAGGGCCCATGGAGCCCCCTCCTCTGCCTGTGCGGAGCAGAAAGCAGGACCCCTGCACTCCTCTCCACATCCCGGACACATGTGTTTTCTTTCCAAAACTGGCACAGGAAGGTCCTCACGTGAGCTCCCTCCTTTGAGGTATGCAAGCAGAGGCCTATGACATGTGAAGGGCTGGTGAAGAGGGAGACAGGACTGTAAGGCTCCTTCCCCTTCCAAAATGCTCAGACCTGAGACTCTGTGGGGAGGAATGTAGGTAAGTCCTAGGTCACTGTGGCCTTGTGTCACTCTGCCTGCCTCAGTATCTCGGGGCCCAGGGCTGGCTGGAAAGGCAGTAAGCCACTCTCTGGGAACAGCCATGTCCCTGTAGGGCCACAGCCTTCCAACCTCAGCCTCCTTGTGACTGGCTGCTCTTCAGGGTGGGCCACACACCTGAGTTACTTCCATTAGCTTGGATTGTCAGTGGATCTCATTCCAAAATCCTTTCATCCCTCCTGACCTGTAAGACTATAGCTTATTGTAGCCATCTGAATGGCTCGCAAGTGCAGTAGCCACTCTCTCTGCATTTGCTCCGCAAACGGCATTCCAGGGATGTGTGAACTCTGGTGGAAAATAATTACACCTTTATTTTCGTTAGCCTCTAACAGAATTAAGTATTTCCATTAATTATGAGTGTATGCAATAAAACCCAGAAGTATTAGCAGTACCAGTAGCATTGTCACCAATACAAACATTTTCCTGTCACATTGTGGCTGTCATGGATAATTTGAAATACTGCTTCTGATCATTGTTACTTTGAAATTACAGTAGCTATTAGACTTGTTGCATTAACAAAGAAGCACATATATTACTATTTCACAAATATTTTGGCAACTTTTGGGATATAGTTTCCATTGTAATCATATGTGCTTTGTTTCTATTCATTTAAAACATTATGCTGAGACCAGTTTCTGAGTCTTCATGATGCTGAAGATGTCCACAGCACCACAACAACCAGTTATTCTGGTTTCACAGTCCGACTACTGTCATACCAATGACCCCATATGCCTGGCACTCTGGGGGCACAGGAATGAAAGCAGGTGCATGACACATCCTTTTTGAATGAATGGGTTGGAGTTCCTATCACAATTATAGAATTATAGAGCTGGAAACTCTCTAGAAAACCTTTATTGAAATGGTTTTCAAACTTTGTGGCCACAACTCATAGCAAGAATACATTTTCCTTTGTGACCCAGTATCTGCATATGTGAAACAAGGTTTTTTATAAACCAGGATACACCTTTACTATGCATGATATACTATTGTATTTTCTATTCCATTTTTTCTTAATCTATTCTATTTCGTCTTGGGGGGGGGTGACTGAATTTTCATTCAGAACAATTGTAACAGCTGACAAAAACTGAGCTAATGCCCAAAACAATGTGCTGAAATTAATAGTAGCAAATTTGGATGCAAGCAAACAGAAGGGAGAAAGCCTTAGTATTCTGAGAACAGATAAAATTAGAAGGCGTAAAAGTGATCAAGGCACTTTCAGAATAATCTGTAGGTGGGGTATTTACAGTTAGTGTGCAGAAAAAGAAAAAAACCACATAATTAAATAAAACGAAAATTCACTTGATTATAAGCACTACAGATAGCCAAACTTTGAGCATTCTTAAAAGTGGCAGTCTTCAAAATACTTCTTTATGTTCAAAAGCTAAAAGTTAAAGATGGTCCTATTATACTGGTTTGGGAGAGGTCATATAATAACTACTTTTCAAGACTCAGAGTAACCCACATATTTTGCCAATAAAAACGAAGGGGCAGATTTGCCAACACTAATGCAGCTCGGTTGTACTGGAAGGCACCAAGCCGATCACCCACCCTTTCAGCTCAAAGCCACCGCTTTGGGGACGATGTTAAGTCCCTTCTGCACTCTAGGGGCCTGGGTCTCAGTCACTGTAGTCAAATTTCTGTTTTTGAGCCAGCAGAGTGTGTCTGAACACTAGGGGCCACTCAGTGTTTATCGAGACGACGGGGATCGCCTCCGGTTTGCGTACAAGCTCCCCTCGAGGCCCCCCAAGCCTGACATAACCGGTACGGGCCTCCTCAGTTCAGGGGCAAGCGCCTGTAACGGCGACGGGGTGAGCTCCGCTTCTAGGAGGCACCAGAGTTCTGACAATTCAGGACACCCTGAAGCCTGCTCACTTTGACCCAAACTTCTGTAAACCTTAAAAATAAATACGTCAGTTGTTTTACTAGCAAAACGAGCTTACAGACGAGACACGACAGCAACGCTCAACACCGCGAAAAACGCGCGAGAGGCGGCTCTTTTATAGAGGAATGGGGGGGCGGAGGGAACGGACTAAGCGAAGCGAAGAGCCCATTAGAGGAAGCCACCGTGTCGTGGCTGCTCATTGGCTAGCTCACAACAGTCTCTCATTGGCTGGGCTGTTGCTGGGAGAGGCACAAACGCTTCCCTCCTCCTACTGGGTGGTGAAGTGGCCAAAAGAGTTGCAAGGTAGTCTTTTCCTCCCTGTGGGGTTTGCAATAGACTGGCGTGGAGCGACCCCCCAAAGGCTGTCGGAACTGTATCAGTCAAGTTCCCTTTATTAGTTTTCACATTTCCTAGACCGGGAGTCCTGCAGGGCCTCCTGAGGCTGGATGACGCTTCCGCGACAGAGCCGTCACTAAAGGAATCACTGAGCACCAGAGAATGGGCCCTAGGAGGCTGCGAGTGTATTCAGCAAATTTCTGGGCCACACGGCCTCTCCAAAAAGCCCCCAAAGTGAACGTCACCCAGGCGCAAGACCTTTTTTCTGAAGCCCGCTAGACCATGAGAAGGTCCCGGTAACCTAAAGCCCGCGCAGCTCCGCCGGGGCTGCAGCCACCGTGCCGCTCACACAGCGCTTCCACCCTGGAGGCGTGCGGGGGGGGGTGTGGAGGGCCGGCGGGCACAGGTCAGCCCCGCGCCAGGCGGCAAGGCGGGCGGCCGGACCCCCACCTGTCTAGCGCGCTGGACCAGCTGCTCGTCAGAAGCCTAGAAGCCATCAGGTTTAGTCGGATCTCAGAGTACAAGCAGAGAAAGGCGCTTCTGTGCTGACGCGGTACCGCGCTTCCGGGCCGGCGCCCAAGGCCGGAAGTCCGAGGCCGGCAAGGGGCGTCTGTGGTGGGGCGTCTGTGGTGGGGCGAGGTGGGCTGCAGGGGAGAGAGCAGCGGGGACCGTCAGGGGGCGCTGCGGCGCGAGGCGGGGGCGGGGCGGGGCGGACGCGCCGTCCCGCCCCTTCGTGAGATCACAGCCGCGCGCCGATGTCGCGCCCAGCGCGCCTGACGTGCAGCCGGGCAGCGCAGCCGCAGTGCAGGGTAAGTCGTTCCGCGCGGCGGGTCAGGGCGGTGGTTGGGCTGCTGACCGTCCGTGGGTGGTCCAGGGTGGGCCGAGGCTGCCTCGGAGCTGGTTTGCTTAGGGGCGCTGCATGCCGCGGGGCCTGGGATGGCTTCTGTGACCCGCCGACCCTGGCTGGTCTCGGCGTGAGGGGCCTGAGGGGAGGCGGCCTTTTCGCCTGCGGAGTACGCTCTGTGCATCCTCGAGACTCGGGCCGCTTTCTCTGAGCGAGAGGTCTCTTGTCGTAGACGGAAGGGCCAGCGGCCTCATGTAGCGAGCTTCCCAGCACTGGACAGGTAGGCAGTCTGGGTTCTCTTTACCCCAAGCACCACGTAGCAGTGTGGGCCATTGAGCCGCCTGGGTGCTGTAATAGAGGCATACGTAGTGTTCTTTGAGAGCAGTGAGCAGTGAGCAGTGAATTCTACCTGGAAAGTTGGAGAGAAGTTCCCTGAAAGAAGAAGATGGCCAAAGAGGGCTTCGAGGTCCTCCTAGCTCCGAAGTGGCTTGTTACCGGAGACGGGTGTACGAGGCGATGGAGTTCGGTAGCCTGTACTCCGGCGTGTGTCCTCCTCCTGTCAGACTAACTTGGAGCGGTTTCCTTATTCCCTCTACCCGGAAGGTGGAGGTGATAATACGATGCCTATGGAATGGGGGTATGAGGGTCCAGTGAGCTAATTCAGCCGAAGAACTCAGAGCAGGGTCGGACCCATGATGTGCACTCACTGATGGAAGCCCACCTTGTCTGGGGGAGGCTGGCTTCTTGGAAGTTGGCTTCCTGCAGGCCCTCCTACTCCTTTTTGTTTGCTCTTTGCTAAATGTGAGGCTGGGATTGGAAGGGGGAAGGCCTGTGCTTCACGGGGCAGAGCGCTGGTGCCCGGCAGAGGCTGAATGCTGTTGACGTCAGGGAAACTGGCTTGAGCTCCCTCCTGTCTGTCTGATCCTGAGCACACTCTGTTCTAGGGTCACAGACGAAGTAAGCAGTACCAACTGGATTGAGATCTTCACAGGCAAAGGTTTAGAAGTCATTTGTTCACTTTTTCTGTTATCCTAGGAAGGAAGTAGCCTTTTGGGCTTGTACATTTAAAGTAAGCAACCTGAACCTGGATGCTTAAGCTGTTTTATGGTCTCTTCTGTCCCTGAATAGAATTGAGGGGGCCATGAACTTGGATGAGAAGAAATAATGCATTGTTACGTTCTCTGAAATTTAGCGTGTCCTTCAGTTATGAATATAGGCAGCAAGCCCCACTGTTAACTGTTAAGATGTGACCTTGTCACCAATAGAAATCACAGATATTTTCACATGTTAGGGTGTTGTGTAAGCTCATCACAGCTGAAATGATGGTCAGTCATGGGACTGCTGCTCGATCTCATACAATTAGTAGTATGAGCCGCATATGTTACACTGTCACAGATTTAATTTTCATATTTTGATGTTTTATTTCGGTATAGGGTCGATCCTCGTTTCCAGGCTCCGTGTTTGTAAATTTGCTTACATGCTAAAATGTATTTGTAGCCCCAAAATAAATACTTCCAGTGCTTTCGTGGTCTTTCATGGATGTTTGCAAGGTGGTAAAAATTTTGAATCTCCTGGCACACATTCTCAGCTGCAGTTGAACAGGAGATGTTCTGCTTTCTTATTTCAGCTCGCATATTGCAAACAGGTGTCCTTTTTTCAGTGTGTTCAGTGGCCTGATTTTTGTGCTTTCAGTTGGTGATTTCATGTTTAAAGTGGCCCCCAAGCACAGTCCTAAAGTCCTTAGTGGTCTTAGGTGCAAGAAGCCTGTGATGTGCCTTACAGAGAAAATACATGTGTTATATGAGCTTCATTTAGACATGAATTATACCGCTGTTGGCCATAAGTTCAAAATTAATAAATTGCCAATGTATATTACATAAGGGGACTATAAGCAGAAACACACATAAAACAAAATTATGTATTGATCAGTTGACAAAAATGTTATTAGAGGCTTGGAGGAACCTAAACAGTATTTCCCATAGGAACAGTGCATTAGTGTTTACTAATTCAGTGTTCGTGGCAACTTAGAATATAACTGCCTTGAATAACAAGAATGGACTATACTTGGTTTCTGATTCTGTGTGTTTTATTTTATATATTTAAAAACACCCAAGAAGTTTGAATCTGAACTTCCTGGTGATCAGAGCAGGAAAAACACGATTTGTTAGTCTTCTCTTGGTTGTAGGGGAGGAAAGACTGCAGTTTCTTTAAGAACTAATTGTTCTCTGGTATGACTACAAATTTTGCGCAAGCAAATCAAGTTGCTTGCAGGATGGTCAGGGCGACAGCAGAGGGAGTGGTGGCCATATCTCCTCTGGGGCTGGTAGGCTTTACAAGGCTGCTAGAGGAGTCTATGTCACTCACATGAAGTATGAAGAACCCTCCTTATAGCCTGAGAAATTAATCTGTTCTTAAAGTAATTTTGCGTTTAGCTAAGTCCTTGAAGATGTTGATACCTTCTGGGAGACGTGTCCCCCTCCAGCTCCTTTGTGTGCCTGCTGGCTCTTGTAGGCATTTTTGTGCTCAGACCCCAGCATGGACTGTGAGAACTTTGCTCCATATTTGCTTGTGGAGTTTTGAATAAGTAATATTTAAAATTAAAAGGGCATATGGTTTTATCTCTCTGAAGAGCTGCAAGGGACAGAGACTGGTCCCTCTCTATAGTCAGACTTAGGGAGAAGAGAACGGGGTTGGGTTGGTGTTGTTAAGTTCCTGTGCTCCGAGGGAGAAAGAGGACCATGCCACCTGGCAGGGCTTGTGAAGGAACACCTGGGACTGATCCATGGACCAGTGTCAGGGCAACTCGGGCCTAGGGTTGGTCCAGGGGAACGTCCTGTGGCCCCTCTGCCCAGGCTTATTGACAACCCTGTATTGAAACCCTGGTGTTGTTTCCACAGAGCTGTCTGGCTGTCAGCCCTTCATCTTTGGTTAAGGAAATGACCAACCAGGTAAGGCCTGTGGGAAGAGCATTAATCCAGGATGTTGTCTGGGTGTGTAGTCAGGAGACAAGCATCTAATTCCTGCTGTGCTCTCAAAAAGCTGGGTGACCCTGGGAACTTGTCAACATAGCGTTAGGTGGCCCTAGTAAAATGCACAACACTAAGAGGAGGGTAATTTTATCTAAGTCTTTACCACAGTTTATAGATGGATTGAGGAGAAAGAAGTAAAGATCAAAAAAGGGGAAGCATATCTTTGTAATAAGATTGGAGACAAATGTGACAGGTGGTTATGCAGGCTCTGTGGTTTCATGCAGCTGTGACTGAGCTGCAGACTGGACTCTGAGCTTCCAGGTGATCAGAGCAGGAAAACATGATGGTTAGTTTCCTGGAAGGGCAGTAGTGCGGGAGGAGAGACTACAGTTTCTCTAAGAATTGTTCTCTGGTGTGACCTCAACTCTTGCACAAGCAGGAATCAAGGAGCTTGCATGTTGGTTAGGCAACAGCAGGGGGAGTAGCTGACACAGTGGTGACCATATCTCTTTGGGCTGGGGCAAGTTGGGTGCCAGGGAGTGTTTTAGGGAGGGGATGGGATACATCTGAAATCTGGCTGTTGGGTTAACATGGCTTCTGTTCTTTTTTAGTACAGTATTCTCTTCAAACAAGAACAAGGTAAGCAGTCTGCCTGTTCAAGCAAATTCATGTGTGTGTGGTCCCTGGTGCAGGATTTTTGTCATGCTGATCAGGTATGCAATTGCCAAGTATACCCACTTTGCAGAAGAATTGGCAGGGGCTGCTGAAGGCAACACATTTACAAACACCACCAAAAAAAAAACACAAAACATCAGGTAACTAAAAGGCAGGGGTTAAGTAATAGATTGAAGAACTCCTGGCTAAGGAAAGCTTTCCCACATGAGGAACACATACCTCTGAGCCTCAGAACTCCTTGAGTGCCCTTCTCATCTTGGGAGGAGAACTTGAGCCTCGCCCTGAACTCAGAATTTGCCATGCGGTCTCAACTTGTTTTCTCCACATGCAAAGCAGGGGTTCCACAGAGGACCTTTAATGAAAGTAGAGGATGTAACAGTGACTTTAATTCTATCGAGGGCCCCAGTGTGGGGGCAGCTGGGGCTGTGCAGCAGTGGCATTGGTGGGTAGGGAGTAGGAGGCAGGCTGGAGCCAGCCTGGGAATGTACCTACCAGTAGCACTGGGCTTCACACCTGGGAAGGGGTGTATGCATGGGCTGTTCACACGTCTCCTTACTTCACATCCTGGAGGAATTTTGATGGTGGGTGAACTACAGGCTTTTCAAAGCCTCTGGTACCTTGTCTGGGAAATGAGGATGATATGAACATACTTACTTTGTAGGTTGATTGAGATATAATTATAGCAAGTTTAATTTAATAACTGGCCCTTTAAGCATAATAGACCTTTGTGGCAAAAGGCAGCTCACATATGGAGGCTGTGTAGCTATTTATTTTCAGACCTGTATCCTTTACACTTGAACTGCCTTCTGGTTTCCAGAGATCTCTAGGAGATAAAGCCTATCAAGTTTAGGTCTCTTTCTGGACAGCAATAATAATCCAGGTAGAAAGGGCCTTGGATTATTCCAACACTGCCTCCCCACCTGGTAAACCTGTGATTTGGGGCAAGTGGCTTCTTCAGAAGCTCCAATTTTCATATATGCCTACACAGTTCTATAAAAGCTGTATGGGAAAGCACTTTTCAAACCAATAAAGCAGATACAGATGGCTATTATCTCAAGAGTTGCTGGAACAGTATTTCAGCTCCATTTTAGCACATTCAATCTAGAAGTTGCACAAAGACCTTTTAAATGAAGCACTTCCCATTCCAGCCCATGATGATGCCATTTGGTCAGTTGCCTGGGGGGCAAACAAGAAAGAAAACTCTGAGACAGTGGTCACAGGATCCCTGGATGACCTGGTGAAAGTGTGGAAATGGTGAGCACCCTCTTCCCTAACAGAAGCCTTGGAAATTGGGGTTCATGGTTTTGCTTCTGGGCTCTCAAGTTGCAATTAGGGAAGTATTAACTGTTTTCTAGGCAAGAAAGCTATAACAGTTTGGTGGTATAAAAAGACAAATTTTTTTTTCTCACGTTTTCCTACTATTCAGTGTTAAGTCCATATAGTTTAAAAACAAAAAACTCCATGGTTAAACTTGGCTACATCTGGTATTCTCTGCCTCTTCAGTCCCTCCCTGATTCTGCATTTCACAGAACACTGGTAGCGCATAGTCATAGGGGCCCAGAATTTCAGATGCCAGGCTTAATGTATTGTGTGTGAAGAAACCCCTTTCTCTGTCCCCCACTGAAGGCGTGATGAGAGGCTGGACCTGCAGTGGAGTCTGGAGGGACATCAGCTGGGTGTAGTGTCTGTGGACATCAGCCACACCCTGCCCATAGCTGCATCCAGTTCTCTTGATGCCCACATTCGTCTCTGGGACTTGGAAAATGGCAAACAGATAAAGTCTATAGATGCAGGACCTGGTAAGAGTTTCACTTGTAGAGAAGATAAAGAGGTTCATGACCCCTTTTCAGAACCCTTAGGGATAGATGTGTTTCACAGTTCAGAACCCTGTGGTTTGGGAGGGGTAACATGGGTGCTCGAACTGCATGTTATGTCATCCTTTCTGTGGGGCTGGGGGCAGCGCTCTAATCAAATGCTAATATTGTGCAACTAAACAGACTGCATATACTTAGAGAAATAGAGGCTGCAAACAGTCTTTTATCAGTTCAGGTCAAGTTTTGCTACCAAACGAATCTTGGTACTAAAGTTATTTTAAAAAAACAGTTTTCAGAGCCTTTGGATTTCAGCATTGCTGATTTGGGATTGTGGGCCTGTAGGGCAGCCCAGAGGTTCTCTCTGGGCATTTCCTGAATTGACATGCTCACCACCTCCTGGAGGTCTAGGACTGGGAGCACCAGGTCCTCACAGGTCTGGGTCACGGGGATTGCTACTGATTTATGGTGAAAGTGCCCGATTTCTAGAATACGATGGGTATGAAATTTCTAAGGCAAGAAATCCACTGATGTTTTTAAGCTTACTCGTGTCCCTGGGCACACCACACTTGAAGAAATGAGGGCTGGACCAGTCCCAAAGGAAAGTGTGGTATCAGTATCCAGACGGCCTTTCTGAAAACCAGGACTTTAAACCCTGTGTCGGTGCCATGTGCGTCAAATGGCCATTGAAAGGTCACTGTTGGAAAGGAAAAAGGATGCTGAGAGCAGAGGGGTGTATGATCTTCCTGGATCGGAACCTGAGGTGAAACAGCAGTCATGTGGGGAGCGACAAAAGCACGCACAGTGTTGACCGTGGATGAACAGCGGATTCATCCAACCGCAAACCGCATCCCCATCTACGTGTACTGCACACAGGGAAGTGGATGCTTAGCTTATACCTGTCCTGAAGCACACATTGATAATGCAAACCCCCAAGGAAGAAAGAAAAAGAAGAGAAAATCCCCGATCCTGCAGAGAAGAGTGAGGACCTGAGCCAGGCTGTAGCTCCCTAGCAGACTGACCAAGATGGAAGGTGGGCGCCCAATGGCCTGTCCTCTCAGCCACAGGTCGTCGAGGTGCCTGAGAGCAAAGACAGGCTGCACATTCAGTGATTCAAGTAAATACTCAGTCTGCAGGTATTAAAACATGTTAGAACACAAGGTTTCATTGAGGAATAAAAATTGCTTAAATTTTAAGCAAAGAACATTTGATACTAAAAGTGTATTATAAAGCAGTTAATAGAAAAATATAAAAATAATTTAGAAGTGTTCTTTTATTAAGGAATAAAAATTAGATTTCCTAATAACCATTATTCCTGTAAATAGCTAATTATAATAGAAATGAGAGAACATACTCCTTTTAGAATAAATGCTGTCTTTTAGGAGTAAAGATATTAAGAAGTGGCTGTTTGAGAAGTTGAGTATAAAAGCTGTTTCTGCTCTTGGTTAACTGAGCATTTCTGAAGTCAATTTCCTTTTTTAAATATTTAATAAAGAAAGTGATAAGCCAAGGTATTATTACTTTGAATATGTGGGTTAAATTTGCAGAGATTACTTTAAAACTCACCCTGGAGTATGGTGCTGATGCACCTGTCATGGAGCCCCGGTCTCCCCGAGTCCAGCCCGCAGAGACCTCTCCTCCTCCAGCTCCTGTGGGCCGAGAAGGGCGTGACCTCTGAGCCCTGCCCCAGGAGCTAGAGGAGTGACTTGGGAGCAGCCTTGTCTCCTTTGCCTTTGTTTCTGGGCAGGTGCAGGAGGGCAGGACTTGGGTGGTGTTCTCATGTAGGAGTGGGCATGGGCAAAGGGGCCTGGGCAGGCAGTGGGCTAGTGGGGAGCGAGATTATTCCTCAGCCTCTAGGAATAATAACCCCAGAGGCCCCCAGAGCCTCTTCAAAGTTCCCATGTGGCCAAGGAAAGAAACGCTAGCAAAGCATCAGTGGTCCGGGTGAGAATATAAGCCCAAGTGCTGTTCCTGCTGTGTGTGAGCCCGGAGGCCGTGCTGCTGCCTGAAGCAGCGCTGTGATGCGCCAGTACCGTCTGAGCAAAGCCAAAATCAGCCGAGTGCAGGGTGACCTAAAATCTCGTCTTTTTGGTTTTTGTTTTGGCAGAGTGCCTCTTTCCAGTCCTTATTCCCTGTTAACTTTGGGGTAAATGCTTGCCATGTTACAGTTTTGTATCAGAGTATCTATGGTACATCTTCATTTATTTACAGCTTTATTGAATAAATTGTGTAATTGCACTATAAATTGATACATTGTAGGTATACAATTCAGCTAGTTTTAGCAAATTTCTGTGGTTGTACAGACTTCACCCCAGTTCAGTTTTAGACACTTCTGTGCCCCCAAAAGTTGCCTTGTGCCCTTGTGTTTATTATCAGCCTGTGCTCCCACCGTTGGCTTAAGTCAGCCGCTGATCTGCTTTCTGTCTCTGTAGATTTGCCTTTTTGAAGAATTTCTCATAACTGGGATTGTATGTTCTTATATGTCATACATCATTGAGGTCACATTTCTCACTATTTTTTTCCTTCTTTTTCTTGTGTAGTGGACGCCTGGACTTTAGCCTTTTCTCCTGATTCCCAGTATCTGGCCACAGGAACTCATGTGGGGAAAGTGAACATTTTTGGTGTGGAAAGTGGGAAAAAGGAGTACTCTTTGGACACAAGAGGAAAATTCATCCTTAGTATTGCTTATGTAAGGAAACATGGCTCTCTCCTGCCCCTCCTTCTTTGTTTATTCTCCCAGCCTGTTGTGTGCCCTGGTGTACATTCTGTGTTGGGCTTGTCAGGCAGCTGTTGTCTCGCTGGTGTGGTTTGCCAGCCAGCCAGTTCGGCCTGTAGCTGCAAATCTGCTTGTTTGTTGGGAATGACTTAACAACATGGAGTCTGGAATGTTCTCTGTACGTTCTGTGCACAGAGTCCTGATGGGAAGTATCTGGCCAGCGGAGCCATAGATGGAATCATCAATATTTTTGATATTGCCACAGGAAAACTCCTGCACACGCTGGAAGGTACAGCTTGTCATTTTATCCTATGCAGACTGGGTTGTCCTCTCGCAAAGGAGGGATTATTTTCACTGAAATGCAATTTAATGTCAGCTGAGCGCTAGGTTTGCGAATTCCCAGTCTCGGGGAGAGCTGCAGTGCCTCCAAGTGCTCGCTGTGGCTGTCAGGGTGGCCTAGACGTGGGTGCGCCTTGCAATGGCACAGACTCATTTGGCTGAATGGTTACCTTAGCTATAGGAGTTTCTCATCTTTGTCACGTTTGGGCCTGAAGACCTGTGTGATTGGAAAACAGCACTTTTTTTTGATAATATGCAGGTAGATGAAGTTCTGTGGCCACCCTCTGTGCTGGTGGCCTCTGTGCAGGACTGGGTGCTGCGAACAGGGTGGCAGGGAAACAGTTCATTTGTACTGTTCTGAATTCTCACCAAGTGAAAATACTATCTCCTCAGTTTATCATTCACCCTACAACAAAGGGTTCGGTAGGGAAGTAGCCCCCTGTTTGCTCGGTCTCACAGATGAGGAGCAAGTGTATTTCCATGTTTGGCCACATCTATAGCAGAGGAGTTTTTTCTGAGCAACATGTGCTGAGCTCCACCTGGTCAGGGAAGGAAACAGGAGAAATGGCTCAGGGTTACATGGATGTTTCTAGAACATCAGGAACAAGGGTCTGGTCAATGCCCCCCCTCTCTGACTGAAGCCTCTGTTGAGTGCAACTCAGTAACATAGGGCCATTAGAAGAAATGTGGTGGGAAGCCCATCTGAGGATGGTCAGGTGGCAGTGAATTGCCAGGTTAACAAGAACCTTTGTGCATTTCAGGCCATGCTATGCCCATTCGTTCCTTGACCTTTTCCCCAGATTCTCAGCTCCTCGTCACTGCTTCAGATGACGGCTACATCAAGATCTATGATGTGTGAGTTGCCTGGTGAGATCCCAGGCTTCCTACTTTGTCTCTCGTGTTGTGGGGGGGGGGTCCTAGCTGGGGTGCTGTTCCTCAAGGGCAGCAAAGGCCTGTGTCTACTCCCATCAGATACTTTGTCCCCTAGTCTTTCCTTCCCCATCAATGAACTTAGAATGTCACAGAGGAAGTCGTGCCTGGATGACCTGCTACAGTCAGACACTTGTGACATTTTGTCCGGCCTTGTGTGCCTTGTGGGGGCTGCTGACTTCAGGTTCTTGGGGTAGGCAGGTGGTGTACAGGTGAGGAGGTGGAGCCACGAGCTGTAGCTGGCACAAAGTGATGGTGAAGAGTCAGCACATGGCTTTCCAGGGGCGGCGCTGCCCCCGCAGGCACGCCTGCCCGCTTAGGGAGCTGTTGGGGCTACAGCCACCTTGCAGTGGGTCTCTGATGAGGAGCCGTTGGCGGTCGGTGTTCGACCACAGCATTTGCTGCGGCTCACAGCTATCTGTCACTGTGAGCCTGTGCAGGCCCCTCTCTTGTTCCCATTCTTAGTCCCCACTCCTGCCCCCACCAAGGTCTCCGTACAGGGTGCTTGCTCTGTGTCCTTGATACTCTGACCCGGCACTGATGTCAGTGTGCCTCTGCCTCCTGGCATCTGAATCCACTGGGCGCGTCATGTCCCTCTTCTCCATCCCCCAGCCGAGATGGCTGCCCCCTGCGTGTGCCATAGCCGTGATCATTGCGTCCATCCCGTTAGACCTGTGAGAGGTCTTCAGGAGTCAAAACTTGGGAGTGGGCATACCACTCCTTCTAGCTGCTTTTGGAGGACAAAACGATGTCAGACTTGCATTTGGAACTGCAGCTTCTGGAATCAGAGCTGAATGAGGGCGTTAGGGCCCAGAATGGAAGGAGCCTCTCTCAAACTATGCTTGCTTATTGGCAGCAGAGCCAGTATAAATAATAGCAGTTCCTTATTTTATGAGGCTTTCACTGCTGCTCTTGCGTCAACAGCCCCAAAAATGGCGAGGTGGCAGCATGGGTCAGTGACCCTCTTTTGCAGATGAGGACCTCAGGCTGAGGTGGTGATTTGACTAAGGTGATGGTACCAGATCAAGACCTGGGACTCTTTACCTTCTCATGGCACCACTGCCTTCCACTGTGGCCACCAGGGTCTGTTTTCAGGGGGTGAAACTGCTGGCATCAGTCAGGCCTAGGATTGTCCTGTCATCAGTGATTCGACTTCATTTCTTCTGAAAGTGAGAATGGCTGTAGTAATTAGACCTGTCTTGTTCTTGGTCAGGTTAACAATGGTCTCTCAAAGCCACATCCGTTACGAAGAGCACATCCCGATGCCCTCCTTGGACGTGAGGCGCTGGGTCCCTGTGGAAAGGGTGCCGTGCAGGCAGGGCTCAGAAGATGCTGCTGTTCGTGGGTGGCCTGGGTGCCTCTGTCGTGTGGCTCCTTTATTTTGAGCTTTTAAGCTCTTGTTACGGATCCTATTCTTGGCTGTTAGGGGAAATGAACACACAATGCTGCTGTAAAAATCTGCTCCTGCAATGCCTGATGCTACTTAACTGAAAAGGGAATTTTTCACATGCTAATAGTATCCTTATAAGGATAGCAGATTTAGTCCAATTAAATGGGCAGAGTTAATAACATACTTCCCTCTTCAGTGGCTGTATTCCAAAAGTTAACACCCCATCTTGTTTGAAACTCCATTTCAGACAACATGCCAGCTTGGCTGGCACACTGAGTGGCCATGCGTCCTGGGTGCTGAATGTGGCGTTTTGTCCTGATGACACCCACTTCGTTTCCAGGTAATTATGACTTTAGCGGTTTCTAACATGCTAGGAAGGTGAAGGTGGTCTTGAATGAATTGCCTTAAAATTTGAAGGTGGTGTGACCCTTTTTATTCAGGCAGTTTTTATTTTTAAGTTGTAAAGGTAGCAGTTCTTAGCTGTAACAAAGGGAGATTGTTTAGAACAGTCCAACTCTTAGTTTTTCCTTATAATAATCTAGGTTTCTGCCCACAATTGCTTAAGGGATGCCTGTGTTCCAGTGGTAACTTAAAATATGTAAATCTATTTGTAAAATGTTCCACTTTTAGAACCCAGTGTTCAGCCCAGGAAGTTGTTCAGAGCAAGACAGCTGAAAACACGTGGTGGACAGTTTAGTGGCATTGTACAGAGGTTTACAGGAGCCTAAGAACCATTATTTTGAAGCTTTAATAGGCCTCCCACCTCACTGGAAGTGGGTGGATGTGTCTGAGACTCCTGATGAAGACACTTAACATGTGGACAGACAGATCAGGTTCAGGGAAATGGATGCTTTGAGTAGAGAAAGCTACCCAGGGATGCCATGCCCAGGCCACCTCCTAGGGGCCCAGGTCAGCTGCTTGTGCACATGTACACGTAGCAAAGGGAGCCTCTGACAGGAGGCAGAGGGCAGGTGAGCGGAGAAGTATGAGGTTTTTGGTCAGATTCCTCCCAACTTTAAACCAGTCTGAAAACTTTCCTGATACTAATGTTCCCTTTTTAAATAGTTCATCTGACAAAAGTGTAAAAGTTTGGGATGTTGGAACGAGGACTTGTGTTCACACCTTCTTTGATCACCAGGATCAGGTATGGCAAAACTAACATTTACACTCCCTTGTCTTTCAATGGCTGATGTCATCTGACCACTGTGCCAGACTCTTCCCTTGTGCTAACTTTGCTGCTAGTGTTTGGTAGGCACTTGGCATGGAGCTGCTCAAACTGCTTGGTGTCCGTCCAGCCAGTGTTCTGTGCACACTTTCAGGAGTTAGGGTCACAGCCCATGAGGTGTGAGGGCTCTGTGAGGACCACAAGATTTGGTGGCAGCCACACAGCCTTCAAGCTGAAATGCTCTCCTTTGCACATGCAGGCCAGTGCCTGAGGCCCTTTCCCGTGAGCAGCAGTTTGGGAAGGTCTTTCCTTTTTCCAGGCTTCTGTGTGGAACTGTCCAAACGGTGATGTGATTTTATTTTTCTCAATATCCTTGAAGCCAGAAATTCTTACTGGCTATTTGGCTTTAGCAATATTGCTAAACTTGTTTCAGCCTTCAGCTTAGAAAACGGAAGAGCTGTTCCCACTGGAGTCTTAACCTTTGCCACAGGAAGGCGAAATAGTGAAAGGTTCTAGTGTAAGGCTTGTCAGGGCCTGATGGGCACTCGATCCCCTGGGGAGCTGGGGAGCGTGCAGGCGCCAGTTCAGGGGGTCTGGCCCAGGGCCTGAGAGCCTGCATTTCTACCAAGTTCCAGGTGAGGCCAGTGCTGGTCCCAACCACTGTGTGTAGCAAGGGTCTTGGGAAACTAGTCAGTATTAAAAAAGTCCATGTAATATAAAGTTGGTATTTCAGATGTTTTAGTGATGATTCCGTAGATTTTCCCTCTTTGGAATATAACTTAAACTAACATAATGGCTCATGCTTTTTTACATTTAATCTTAAATTGTTGCCAGTAACCCAGTAGACATCCTGCTCCTGGGTAAGTCCTGGTTGGCTGTTGCCTTGCTTGTGGGGATCAGAGCGTGGTGCTGTCTCAGGAGGACTTTCAGAGTGAAGTGAGGCCATCCCCTGGCCAGTGGGAGGTGCAACAGCCCCTCCGCTCTGGGGGACGGTGGTCTGATGAGGGCCCGGCCACACCAGCTCATCTGAGGAGGAGGTGTGGCTGGTGCCCATCTGGCTTCCTTGGGCCCCACAGCCCACCAGACTGAAGGTCACTGAGCATAGGAGTGGGGGCACCAGGGCCAGGGAGCTCGGGTTGCAGGTTGGTGGTTGTCCCTGTGGGCAGTGACCCCGGGGAGTTATGGGGACCTTTTTCCTCCTAGAAATCAATGAGAGCCATGCTCGTCCCTTACGGGCCCGTCCTCATGGCATGAGGCCACTCCCTGGATTCTGGATCTTTGACAGATTTGTAGGTGTCTCAATTTGTGTTGAGAAATGAAATTTTCTGGAGTAGGGAGGTGAAGGGAGTGATAATTGAGCAAAAGGGAAGAGGCCTGGTGAAGGACGGGCTCATCGTCACGGCTCAGAGTATGGCTCTCCCTCAGCACTGTCTAGATTGAGGACAGCGAGGAGAGCATGTCCTAAAGAAGGCACTGGTGGGACTTTCCTTCCTTTTTATCTTTTTACAGGTCTGGGGAGTAAAATACAATGGGAATGGTTCAAAAATTGTGTCTGTCGGAGATGACCAGGAAATTCACATCTACGATTGTCCACTTTAAACTGAGTCTTACAGGCTCATGCTGGAAAGAGAATGTACAGAATGATGACATTCCTTACCTTTCTAACTTAAAAAACAGCATTTAATATAGCAAAAACAGATTTTTGTAGATAAAATGTAAATCTTTTTTTTTTGGAAATGCTGTTCATACTCTAACATAAAGTGTCCTTAATGCAAATACCGTGCTCTAGAACCTGCGTTTTCATTCGTCATCCCTGGTGCAGCTGTGACAGGACTTGGCATCACGAAAGCAAGTATCTGCCTCCAGGCGCTTCCTGAACTTCCTGGCTTAGAAAGGCAGGCTCACTTCAAGGGGACCGAGTCACACAGAAGCCATGATAGAAAGGAAAGCTCATCTTTCAGAATGGGGCCCCGAAGGAGACAGGACACGTGGGGGGGTGCATTCTGTCACCTGCCTACACCTGCTGTGGTTGAATGCCAGCCCTGCCCCAGGATCCCCATTCCTCGGTTTTCTCTTCAGCCTGAGAGTGGGTCTGCATGAGTGGCAGGTACACGTAGCTGACCCCAAAGCCCGTTGCTTCCTATTGATCCTGATGCCACGCGCCTGACGTCAGGTCGTACACTCTCTCGCCAAATTCTCCGTCACTCTTAGGGTGAAGCTCTCGCCCTTTACCGTAGCTCCTACTGCTCCCACCCTGTAACCACATGTGGCCCTTGCCATTCCCTCTGCTGGAATGTTCTTTCAGAGGCCTACTCACTGTTCAGGTAGCCATCTGGATGCCAGCTCCCAGTAGAGGCCTGCCTCTGTTCCCTGCCACCCTTTCTCATGACTTTTTCTTCAGTTATCATTGCTGATGTTTGCATTTATCCCCACCTGCAAAATGTACATTCTGTGAGAGTGGAAACTTTATGCCATTAGATCAACCAAGGCGAGGCAAGCTGGCACTTAAAGTACTTCATTTGAGCTTGAGAAAATAAAACAAAAGCCATTGTCTGTCATTCATACCAGCTCAATTTTAATTTTAAAGTGAAATGTACAAGTGGAGTTAAGTTTTAAGTAACCTCCAAATTCCATTTACCTGACAAGGAGCTGAATGCAGTAATTTCTCAGGAAGTCACGGCCCACAGAACACCCTGGAGCTGTGGTCTGTGTGTAAGTCGATTTCCATACAGGCTTAGTTGGAAGAATAGGTTTTATGTCTGTCCTGACTGATGGTCAGACAGGCAAAGGTGGGCTCTTTACCTATTCTGAGCAAATTTCTGGCCACCTTCTGGGCAGAAATGTGGTCCTTCCAGCCGGCTCACCTACCTCAGGCTTTACCTGCCCTTTGACCCTCAGGGGGCCTGGTCTGACTGCACCCTCAGGGACTGAATGAGCAAGTACATGTGGACCCTCTGCGCCAAGGAGCCTCTACCACAGCCCAGCAGCTTCTCTTCATGGCTGCTGTGGGAGGAACGGAGCAGCAATGGTGCAGGCTGAGGTAACCCTAAATTTCAGTCGTGGTCTACCTGCCAGGGGCGACCTCATGACTAAGGTTCCTTCAAACAGGCTTCCATTTACAGCTAGTCCACCTGGCCCGCTGTCACCATAGAAGCTGTCTCCAAACCAATATCACTTGAGCAGGAAGCCCTTGTACTATGGCCATGCCACAAGGGGAGCATGCCCCTTCAGAAGGGAGTTGGATCTGGGAGCAGAGGAAAATGCTTTCCCGACCCTCAAGCCACCCAGGGTCCCTGATCAGACAGGAAGCTGGCGGAGCCACAGGGCCCAACGGCCGCCAAACATCCTCCCATGCCTTCCACTGCACTGAGGCTGCAGGGGAGGTGGGAGGCTGAGTTTCTTACAAGCACGCACTTGGGTGGGAGCACACTGCAAAGGTCAACAGATCCTGAAACCACAGAGAACAAGGCATGGAGGTCACAGGCAAACAGCTGTATCGGCATTCCAGTTAAAACACTGGTTTGTCCTCACCATGAGGCTTGGGAGGTTCAGGCGGCTTCTGGGAGAGCTGGTTGGACTCACCCCATTCCAGCCACTCTAGGGCATGGAGCAGGAGAAACCCCACGTGAAGCAGGCACTGGAGCAAGCCCAATCCGGATGCACCTCTGTTCTTGGGGATCGCCTAGGATCCAGATGCAGAAATGTCCCGCCCCCCAACCCCCATGGGAGGGAGGGAGAGCCCAGCCAGCCAAGGGCCAGGATGCCCACCTACTGCCCAGAAGTTTCTGGGGTGCCGAGGGCTGCTACCTGGGCAAAGCCATGAGAACCACATGTCACAGTGTGTCACTGGCTCCTCAGATGTATCCTGAAGGTGTAAATAAACCGATGCCATGTGCAGACGAGAGGTGATTCACATTTAAAACATTTACATATAAATTAAGCTATAACTTAAGTTACAACCAAAAGAAAAACCAGAGACACTTAGCAATTAAGGATGCTGAGCGCACACACAGGACACCCAAACATGAGGCCAGTGAGGTGACGCGTTCCACTGTGCCCACTGTACTCTGTCACGTGCTAGTCCGGCTGAGCCGTCATGCCGTCTGGCACTGCACGCCAGCCCGGGGCCCGTCGTCGTCCTCCTTGTATGCCTCCCTGTGCTGACGCCAGTTCTGCTCACTGGGGTTGAACTCCTTCAGCTCCACTTGATCCATGTCGTCTGTGACCCTTACTTTCTGCCGAGGAGGGAGTAAGGCTTCCAGCTGAGGAAGCTTGTCTTGAGAAAGCCAGTGCTTCTCAGGGAAGATGACCTGTACAGGGTGAGGTGGGGAGAGGCAGTCATTTTCCCTCCCAGTTAAGGCATTTAGCAATATGTCCCATGAGAGCAGAACATGGGAACTTACTAAAAACTGTATGATCAGAGTCCCTCTCTCCAGGGGTGCTTTGTAGATCGGCATTCCTTCATTACGGACACATCTCAGGTCCCCATGCTTGATCACCTCACCTGCAGCAGGAAAAGTTTAGCTGTGAAACAGGAAGATGGAGGGCAGCCTGGAGGCAGCAGTCTACCTTTTGGGAAGGCCGGAGAGCAGGCCCTGGTTCCCCCATGCCATCAAAGGGGTAACGTCGCATCTGGCAGGAAGTCTGGTCCCAGCTGGAACGCTGCCTGCTGGAGGAACTGCCTGGGTGGGGGATCAGTGGGACTCTGGCCCTGCTCTGGCCCCGTTGTAAGTGTAGTTTTAAAGAACAATCGACCAGAACAATCTGGGTAAACAGGTGATACCTGCCCGCCTGCCTCCTCAAGTCATTGACTGCATCCGTCCCTCAACAGGGTGAAAGTCTGCTCCTCCAGCTGGAAACAGAGTTCAGAGCAAGAAAGGACCTCAAAGGAGTCTGACCACCCCACCTGGCATGACAGCCCACCTGCCTACCCGTGTCCTCTGGCAGAAGACATCAGGGTTGAACAGCCAGTAAGCCAGGCACTGTCCAAAGGGCATCATGGGAGTTTAGACCCACAGAGTGCTAAGGTTCTCCCCCAAATCTAAACATACTACTTCCCTCCAAACCCAAAAAGGAAAAGGACAAAGGTGTCTAAAAAAGTTAGCCCAGTGATGAAAATGCACAAAGGAAAGAAATGTGCGGAAGAAACAGGAAGGGGGAGGGGAAGCTAAACACTCCTTTAAGCAGCAGCCCACACCCAGGCAAGATGTCCCCTCCTCCTGAAGGGAAATCTTTAATACAGAGGCCTGGGGAGCTGCCCAGTGCAGGGCATGCTTCAGGGAGGCCCTCAGGGCTTCGGGCTGCAGGAGGGGGCCCCTCAGCCAAAGCCACGGAGATATCTGTGTTTGTACTCTTTCGGGTTTTTTTTTTTTGGTTTGTCTCTCCATTCCTATCAGGTATCACGACTCCTCAAGCATCTACTTCAAACTTACTGGGGGCTGGGAAGCCCTGGGACAAGCATGGAAAACCACACGGAGGAGGGCGAGGTGACCCTGCCACCAGGGGGCGCCTATCTGCGAGGCAGCAGGCCTTGGGTGACTCCTGGGGCACTTCCTTGACTGACTCCAATCCCTAGCCGTCCAACTCCTCAGGGCGGCCAAAGGGCCTCTAGCAAGGTGGGCATTTCAACTGCAGGCAAGGAGGAAGAGGAGAAACGAAGGAAGGAGCAAGAAGCCAGAACAAGAGCTGAAGAGGTGGAGGACCCGAGAAAGGGTGGATAAACAGGAAACAGCACAGGGGAATCCCCTGCAGTCCCTGCATTTCCATAATTACTAAGCTAGGAAACGGGTTCCTTGGGGTTACCACCTCCTGTCCTTGGCTTCCTGGTGCCTGTGGCTGTGGGCAGCTGCAAGGTGCTGAGCACTGGAGCCCAGCCCACTCCAGGGAGCCCAGCCACATCAACCAAGACCTTGAACTGCTTGCCCTTGGCCAAGGGCAAAGAGGCTACATGAGGGTCCTGACACAACACAGGCGTCGGGCACTGGGGCCTAGCACTGTGTGTGGACTCCCTCCTCAAACTTTCCTACTCAGGTGAGGGAAGGATCATGGGATGCAACCTACGGAAGGCGCTGTATGTATGTCCTGCAAACCTTGTACAGTTCTTTGGTGCTTTCCCCCAATTCTTGATTAAATGTGTACAGACCTACAAGTAGCAAATGATAATTAAATGGGGTAGATGTAAACAAGAGGCAAATCATGTATATATATTTATGTATCCTTATGCTATTTTTACTTTTACGAGTTTTTGTTAGTCTGAAATTATTGCCAAAAGTAAAAAAAAATTTTATCAAGGTTTGGATAACTAGTTCCACTTCATTTCATGCCCAGAAAAGGAGGAAAGAGAAAGAGCCAAAGAGAGAGAAAGCGAACAATGCCAGAAAAGGAAGAGGGGAGCTGGGCAGAGGCAGGCAGGCCTGGAGGCAGCTAGGGCAGGTAGCCCAGGGTTTGCCCCTCCCTGGGCTTCAGAGGTGCCACCGGCTGGCGCTGCCCTCGGACCCCAGCCCCAAGCCCGCCCCCTACCCTTCAACTCGTGTGCCCACAGGGAATGTCACTCCTGACCCCGTGACCAGCGAAAGAGCCAGAGCCAGTGGTGGGGTTGAGTCCAGGGTGGCTTGGCCACGGCCACACCACCCAGATGTGCTTTGACCTGGACAGCTGACCTGAAATGTTGCCAGATGCAGCTGAAAGTCATGGGCCCAAGCCTGGCCACTCCCCCTTTTCCATGCCTGCCCTCCCTTCAGCCCTAGGTAGGCAAGTGCTCTGGTGCCCACATGGGCTCGACCAGCATGGACACTCGCCCTGCTGGGAGCTGGGAGCATGGTATCCATACATCTGCCGCAGGCCGAGTGTTCAGGCCCTGGCAGCCCGTCTGGCACAGAGGCGGTGCCTCCCACCCTGGGGATGTGTGGGGGCAGGCGTTCTGCAGAAGGCTGCAAAGATAAGCCTGCAGGTAACATCGTTTTCAGGAAAACTACTTTGACATGGCTACCACATGTAACTGACAATGCAGAGGCTGGACAGACAGTGGGTGAGTCAGCACAGGTGACTGCTACATTTTATCGTTACGCAAGGATTATCTTTTTTAATTTAAGTTAAACTGACAGTTTCCAGTTAGAATTTTAGACCCCCAACATTCCTGTTTGAAGCTCTTCCCCCCACTCTGAATTTTTTTTCTAGGAGAATATAAAAGAAACTCATAAAATTCTCAAGTCACAGAGATGACTTTCACTCTAGGGAAATCAGGTGACGCTCACTGGCAAACAGAGCCGGCCTCGGAGTGAGAGCAGTGCCATCCGGACACAGCCACGGCGGGGTGCACCCGAGCTCACCTGATGTGGATGTGATCACAAGGACTCGGTCGTCCAGGGTTTTTATCATCTTCTTGAAGCCACAGAGGGCTTCAGAAAGCTGAATTTTCATTTTCATGATCAAGTCGTGGCCTTGCCTCTGAAAGACACTATGATCCTTCTGATCAAGCACGATTATGACATCGCCAGGCTCCAGCTCAGGCCCCTGATCTCCTTCTCCGGGAAAGAGTACCTTTTGCCCATCTTTCATACCTAAGAAACATCATCCCTTTCTGATTAGCTATTCCCCTTAGACCATGCTGCCCACAAAACTTATGGAGGAGCACATGGTCCTTGGGGGCCCTCGATTCACCAACTCCCACCCCCGAGTGTCTGGGAACAGGAGTGGAGGCTGGGCGTATACCGAGAAAGGGGCCGCTTCTCGGCACGCCAAGGTGCTCAGCCCAGTGCAGCGGGGAGAGGAGGGGAGTGAGGCCTCACGCCACAGGCCTGCCCGGCCGTGCTGTCGGAACCGATGTGCTACAGCAAGCACAAGGTCACCCCATTGCTCGCTGCACTGGCAGGGGCGGCCTGGTGTGTGCACACAGGCATGGGGGCTCAGGTGTTCTAACAGCCACTGTTAGTGTGGGTGCTCAACCCACAGTCACTTCTCGTCCCTCTTGGGACATATTTGCTGGATTAAAAAGCCACAGAATGATCAGGGACGGCGTGAGGACAGCTAAGAACAGCAAGGCGAGCATGATGGTGCCAGGGAACATGAAGGGCACGGTGAAGGCCCTGTACTTGGGAGAACCCAATACGACTGAGGGGAAGACGACGACTCAAGCTCTCGGGGCCTCTCCAAGTGATTCTAAAGGAAGGGCTGAGGGTGGCAGGCAGGGCCACCAACCAAACTCTAGGTCAAGGGACTGTCAGAGCAGTGGGAAACCTTAATAGAGTTGCTTTGGACCTCAAGGAGCAGGCCTCAGCAAGGAAACTGGCAGGTGATGCCCGATGGAAGGCAGGCCAGGGGGCCAAGGGCTGGCCTGGGAACAGGAGGCTCTGCCGGCCACGGACCAGCTGTGACGCTGTTTCCCGCCCCCGACCTGTGAGTGCGTCGGCGGGGAGGGGCCGCCCGCACAGCCTCACCTCTCTCCACGTGCACCTCGAGGACCTTCTTCTCGCGGACTACCTTGGCCCCGCAGCAGCTCTCACAGCGGTCCTTGGGGTCGATGCGCTCGCCCTGGCCCTTGCACTCGATGCACACAGTCTGGATCTGCTGCACCATGCCCGGCCCGATCTGCTGGATGTGGACCTGCATCCCGCGGCCCTTGCACAGGGGGCACTTCTCCACGGACCCCTCCTTCCCACCAACACCTGTCGGGACAGGGGTGAGGGCCCCACTCTTCCTTAGAGGCACCCCCTGCTGAGCACGGAAGCAGGAGGGTGACCAGCCACTAAATCCGGCACTGGGGTTTGAACTCTATTTATGATACTGAAAAGCAAGGTGGAAGAGCCTGGATGATTCCAGCCAAGCAGAAAATATCCATGTTAATGTGGCCTCCAACATTTGTGATTCTGGCTGTACCAAGCTGAATTCATTACTTCAGCTTTATCAGCTATGTTTTCTTCCACCCCAGGGTGCCTTCAGGTGACCAAGCGGCCAGGGCCGCTGCAAACTGGAGAACACAGACCTGTCCATAGAGGTGGCTACCTAGCTCCAGACAGTGTGAGGCTGGGGTCACCACATCTAACTTTTCTTAAAAATCATATTTTAAAAATTACATCAATTACATTTACATTTAAGCCAAAGGTCAGCAAACTCTTGGCTACCTGCCTGCTTTGTAAATAAAGCTTTATTGGAACCCAGGCACTCCATGCATCCATACTGTCTGGCTACTTTTGCACTGAGGGTTGGGTAGTCATGACAGAGCCCATGTAACCCATAAGGCCTAAAATATTTACTCTCTAGCCGTACACAAAACTTTGCTGACTCCTACGGGCACATGAACCATCTTAATTTTCAAATTTGTAAAATAATGGTCAACATATTACAAAAATGTGCAGCCCAAATAAAAAATGTATAGGGCAAATAAAACACTTGACCCTCACATTGGAAAAGATAAATTATTTTTCTCTGACTTGTAAAATAATCAGAACTGTTTCCAGATCTAAGGGATCAGAACTATGAGATTCACTCACAAACTAATTTTTACCTTCACATTTCTCACAAATTACATTTTTCTGGAGGGCCAGTTTCTTTGTGACTCCATTATATAAATCTTCAAGAGTTACAGACAACTGATGTACAACATTCTTGCCTGACCAAGGAAGAAAACACAGTTAGCACCTGCCTCCCGTCCCCCCAACCCTTCGCTGTGCAAAGCCCAGAGACTGGGCCATGCCCAGCCCTTCGTCGCCCTCCCGCAGAAGCTTCTGTCACTCCTGGCCCATCCTTCAGGTTTCCCACCATGTGAAGGTGTTGCCAAGAGACTCTCCACCTTTTCCCAGAACAGAGCTGAGGACAGAGGGGTCAGTGAGGAAACCAGCCACAAGGTTCTCCTAACGGAGGCACCGACTCCTCTCTCACGGGCTCAGGGTCTTCCCTTCACACTCTTTCTTGACCATATACTCCATATACACCTGCTGAGCCCTTCTGTAACTTGTGGCCAGGTGGGCACTCATCCCCTGCTGAGATCCCATCTGTGCATTTGGGACTCTAGACTTGCGTGCAGGAGCCTGGCCGTGCCACAGGCCTGCTTGTCAGGACCCTCAGCACCACCCCCTCTCAGAAGCCGCAGGGCTCACACGAGACTGCGTCCCTGTTGAACGGCTGTCAGCCTTGGGAGATGACTGACTTAAGGGCATAAAGAGGCCCCCAAGGTTCTGGTCATGTCCACGCTGTCAACTACATGAGCAGCAATACTGCAGACGGGGCAAGGGTGTCCCCAAACACTGTTCACAGAACCGACAGCCAAGCTTTTGAAGCTGAAAGTTGGTTATAATGTGAGAACAAGTACAGCCTTATTTACCTAGGAGCCTCTTGTTGGCCCAAACCACCCTTGCAGAGCTTAGTTTCCTGATTTTATCTAAGATTGTAATAAACTTGGCTACCTATCTGGTGTCAAGGTCCAGAGCAGATAGATTATCAACCCTACACTGGACAGGGGGATGGGGGCTACAGGAGATCACTACTACAGCCGGGGGACACAGCCCACAGCCCAGCAGAGGCTAGAGGGACAAGAATTAGGAGAGCAAACCCCGGACCTCAGAAAGTGACGTGGGGCCACTAAATCCTCACTCACCTCCTGGGGACAAAGCTGCTGATCATAATACATTCCAAAGAGAAAGGCAGATGGGTTCTTTAACAAAGACATTCAAACATAAAGCAGTACATTTTGTCACCTAGACAATCTCCAGGGCAGCTGAGAAAATGAGGCTCCTGTGCCCATGGCAGAGCTCCAGCAAGAAACAGAACCCACGGAGGTGCATGATGGGGAAGGGCACTTGTGGCACAGGCATCGTTGGTGACCAGAGGGGTGCCACCTACATCCCTTAGGACACTCAGGGCCCGGACCCAAGCAGCAGAGTAAAAGAGGGCAAGATGGGTTCGCCTTTTCTCCTTTGGACTCACCACACCATTTGCTTCTTCATATGTGGTGTCTGGAGGGTATCACGTAATTGCTAAATGCCCTGAGAGATTCCAGGTAGCCTGGGTACTAAACAAGTGATGAACTGTTTAGCAAAGGATCCCAAAACATGACAACTGTACCCTGCTAAAGCATGATACGTCCTATTTCCAGTAACGTGCAGTTTGGATACTATGAAACTCGTTTAATGTCTTTAAAAGCATTTACCTCTTCTCTCTCTAGCCATCCGTCCGCCACCACCAAAGAACATGTCAAAGATGTCCATGGGCGAAGAGAAGCTGGGGCTGCCCGAGCCCCCTTCCTTAATCGCCTGCTCACCGCCCTCGTCATAAATGTCCCTTTTCTTTGGATCTGAAAGCACTTCATATGCCTGGGATATGAGCTTAAACTTTAAAATAAACAAAGAGAGAGAGAAGGTTCAAGTTGTTTTAGTAAGCAAACCCAGCAAGTGGTAGAGACACCCTGCCAACACCCCCAAAACCAGCTGGTCTATATCTCTGCAACCTGACTGCCCCTCTTCTTCCCCCATAGAGTAGGAAACACAGGGCAGACATTAAGGGACAAGTGGCGAGGCCATGGCACAGAGTAAGGACGGAGAGCAGTAGGAAGGGACCTCCTCTACTTGGCTGCAGCAGACAGGATGGGGTCCAGTGGAGCTAGGATGGGGGAGACCAGGCCAGGACTCAACCCACAGTTGGAGGAGCCCAGCCTGCCAGCCACTGATGCTAGCTGTCCAGCCCATGAAGACTGCTTTACAACTTTGCTAGCATGAGGTTTCACTACAGACACACGATGAGCACTGTCCCCATGCAGGGTGCACACACAGGGTGCAAACCCATGCTCCTGACCTTGCTCCCAAAGTCCCGCCCCTCCCATCCCCCACATCTCAGCTGTTGGCAATGCCAAATCTCGTTTCCTTTCTCCCCAACATCTCATCTGTCAACAAATCCTTTTAGCACAACCTTCAAGTTTTTATCTCCAGCACCAGAGACAAGATACCCCATGTGTCACACTCACGCCAAAAATGTACCATTGGGTTTCAAATGTAAGAAACAGAAAAACAAATTTAAAGACATTCTGCAAAACTAAATGGAAAACTAACATCAATATGTGATCCTGGACTGGCTCTCACACTGGGGATAAAGTGGCTACAAAGGATGTTGGAACCTAGAGAAATGTGATTTTTTTTCTAGGTTAAACATCTTAAACTTGATAATTGAACTATAGTTATGTACAAGGATGTAGTTTTTTCTAGGAGAAACACGTTGAAGTATTTAGGGCTGAAAGGTTATGATATGTGCAACCTATTCTCAAAAACTTAGGCTAATAATAACAGAGATTAAGCAAATATGGCAGCTAACCTGTGAATAACATGGGTTTGCATTATTTAGGGTCCACTTACATGCAGATTTTTTTCAATAAGCATATTGAAAAATTTTTTGGAGATCTTTGACAATTTGAAAAAACATTCGCTTTTCTCTAGCTTATTTCATTGTAAGAATACAATATGTAATACATATATCACAAGAATACATGTTCATCGACTGTTTTATGTTATTGGTGAGGCTTCTGGTCAACAGTAGGCGCTTACTAGTTAACTTGAAGGGGAATCAAAAGTCACACACATATTTTTGGCTGCTCAGGGGCGCTGGCAGGTCAACCACATTTATAATTTGTGAAGCTGGGTGAAGCACGTGTTTGCTGTACCACTCATGTTTCTGTAGGTAGACAGCTTTTAAAATCGAATCAGAGCCTGGTAAAATACCCAGAGGCCACTGCATGCCTGTCCTGGTACAGACCCCATCTTTCACCTGGATTACTGCTGGAACCTCCCCGCGGTCCGTGTCTTCTGTCCTCACTTCAGCTTTCAGTCTGTGCTCCAAACAGCAGCCAGAACAGGCTGGCTGGTCTTTTCCATTCTTTGCCCCAACCCACCATGGCAGCGCATGTCACTCTTTACTCTGATCTACACCCCATCTCCCCAAGTCTGCTCCCACTCGCCCAGCTCCGTGCTGTCTCTCAGCACCGCAGCATTTATGGCTTAGCTTGCGTCCCCAGGGCAGGGTCAGCTCCATGAGGATGGGGTGTGCCAGTTTTGTCCACTCCTGTACCCCCAAAACTAAGAGAGTGCCTGGCATGTGGAAAGTTCTTGTCAAGATCCATTACATGAAAGGCTCAATTCTGCGAATCCAGAAATGAATAAAGGATGATAGGGTCACAGCCCTCCAGAAGTACAGCGTACTCCGTGGTACAGGTGTCTATATACATAGCCTTTAATGCAGCAGGCTCCATAAAACATACAGAAAAAGTGCTATGAAGATACAAACATGGAAACTGACTGACATGCACCTTTTCTTTTGTATTAAGGTCCCTGGCAGAGATCTAATAAGTAACTAATAAGCAAGAAATGACTGCTAACAAATAGTGGGTAATTCAAAGTTAGGTCCTAAACGGACATGAGAATAATACGCAGGGCAGCTAGAACTTTTGATCTGTTAATTCTTGCACCATTCCTGCATAGAAGTAGGTACCGACTGCCACCTTTTTTCTCAGCAGAAAAACTGAGGGATGGGATTAGGTGCCTGATGTGGAAGGTCAGAAAGCAACTGGCCCCTCTCAGCACCCCTAAAGGGATTAGCTTACTGGCCCTGCCACCCAAGAGTCTTGCAGAGGACCATCTGGGAGAACCACAGACCCCACCAAGAGTGCCTGACAATGCGAGCAGGCTGCCCAGTGCTTAGCAACGCAGGACAAAAGGGCAGCAAACACAAGCCGACGCCCAACAGCCGCCTCAGTTGTCCAGGGGAGCACTGGCTTCATCTATTTTTGAAGAGACATTAATAATACAGTGACAAACTTAGGGGAACACTGAGTGTCCACTATGGCAGATAAAGTGGACAAGAATTATACACAGACTTGCACAAAAAAGGTCTACGCAGCACACAGTTGGGCCAGAAAGGGCCTTTTTAGGGAACTTTACAGCAGAGTTTCTGTGACTGTCCCATGTCCTCATCCCTTTTGATTTCCAATCCAGTTTCCCCTGATCTGATTCCGCCTCACTGTGACAACTTCCCTCCAAACTGGGCCTTGACAGGGTTTTCTCCCCTCCTAGAACTCTTTAAAGTGTATGTCGTCCCATGACATCGCCATTCTCTCAGCCAACCGTTTAGCACCCACACTCACAGGCCCATGGGTGGGCCTGCCCTTCTTCCACAGCAGTGGGAACAGTGGGCATCGAAGAAGAAATCCTAATTAAAGTAGGATGGGGACTGGGCCAGGTCAGTCCACAGCCAGAGGCAGCCCCCTGAAAGTCATTTTAGCAGGAAACTAAAGTCAAGGATTTCATTCCCTTTGTGGAAGATGTTGGGTGGGCTGGAGGAGTATTCCTGGCAGTGGGAACATCACAGAACCCCCCACCCCACAAGCCGAGAGGGGCCTGCCAGACCTCACCATCAAGAGCATCGCTTATGTGACACTGGCTGTAAATAAACACTGGTTTAGAACAAACCAATCTTAGGTATACACAGGACGACCCTACAGACAGTAGTACAGGTGGAGGCTAATTGAGAAAAAGCGTCTGAACTCCAAAGGCAGGCTGAATGCACTGGTGGAGGGAGCTGAGATCCGACCTGAAACCCGGGGAGGGCCGTCTTCTGAAGGTGGGGGTGGGACCCAGGTGCGCACTCCTTGAGGGAGTTGCTCACAGACAGGCTGCAGTGAATTCAGGGAGCAAATCTACCAACCAGCTACATCACTGGAAAGCCACTTTAAAAGCTACAGGAAGCCACCTAAATATAGATGGAAAAGTGCAAGTGAGTAACAGAGAAACCTTCCTGGGGGAGAGCATTTAAACTTGTGACAGGCACAGTCGCAACATGTGGCTAAATATAAACATGCTGTCATCGCTGCCCCCCAGGCAACCTCCCCGGGGTGGAGTAGCTCCGTGTCCAGGGGCCTAAAGACTAGATGGGGGCTCTGTGGCCCAAAGGACCCGGGTGTCACTGCTGTCAGCTGCCACAGCGGCCCCACCGAAAGCCATGCGGGGCCCCCGGATTCCGTAGGGAAGCGGGCAGAGTGGGAGGTGCACGGGAAGGCCACCGGGCTTTCCCGAAGATCAGCGCCTGATCCGCAGGGCACCTGCTCAGGCAGGAAGGCGTCTCCTTGCCCGTGAATGGGGCAGGCTCCGTTCCCACCGCGGCCCTCGGTTTCCCCGGGCGGCTGCCTCTCCCGCCCCCGGCCCGCGCCCCCAGGCCGCCGGCCCCGCGGCACCTTCTCGCCCTCCTCCGGGTTCTTGTCCGGGTGGTACTTGAGCGCCAGCCTGCGGTAAGCCTTCCGGATCTCCTCCGGGGCGGCGCCGGGCCTCACCCCCAGCACGTCGTAGAGCCGGGTCTCCTTCACCATCTTGCCTCTGCGGGCGGGGCGGGCGAGGCCGGTCAACCGCCCCGACTCCCCGCGCGCCGCCCGGCCGCCTCCTTCGCGCCGCCCCCCGCGCGCGCCGCTCCTGCGCCGCGGGTTTTGTCGGGCGCCGGCGGAAGCTTCCGCGGGGCGACGGTGACGCCACAAAGCCCGGCCCCCCAGGGCCCCATGTGGCCGCCGCCGCGGGGGTCCGAGGGCGCCCCGGGGCGCGGCCCCCTCTGTGTGCCCACCGCCCGCCGGCACGGAGGCGAGGCGCCCGGGGCCCTGGCAGAGGGGCCGGGCTTTGCGGGCGCGGCGGCCTCGCTGCCCACGCCCGGGGCTGACAGTGCCGGTGGGACGCCCCTGCGGTGGGCGCGGCCTGACCCCAGTGCCCCCGGGCCCGACGAGGCCCCTGACGCCGCGGCTGCTGGAGGCCCTGCCCTGCGGGCCCAGAGATGCCTGCCTCCCGGGCTGCGCCCCTAGGTGCCCTGGAGCGGGACGGCCACCCCGGCCCAGAGCGGGCTTGGAAAGCAGCGCCATCAGGGACCCGCAGGCCCTCTGCTCCGGCCCAGCCCGGCTCGGCTCTGCTGGCGGATCGCCGCCAGGGAGGGGGGCCACTGGCCACCTCTGTGGTCCCTCCGGCCTTGTCCTTGGTCCTGTGTGTGAGGCAGGCACTGCCCTCTCCCCCTGTTCAGTGAGGGCGAGAAAAGAGTTTTAACATCAGAGAGAAATTGAGCTGTTCGTTTCTGTTCTTGGAGACATGGCTGTACTCTTCTCAATGAGGCCCCGGTGGAGCGCTGACCTTTGGGCAGAGAACTGAGCGCAGCAGGCTGGGAAGCCTGATCCCACACCCAGGTGTCGGCACGCGTACCGGCCCTGGCCTCCGGTCCGCAGGACGCGGTCTTTGCCACCTGCCTGCCTCCTTCCTCACAGGGCTCTTGCAAGGATTATATGAGATGATAAGTGAGGGCTTTTGGCACAGAGGGTCTCAAACCTTGCTGCTCAGAGGAATCACCTGGGAGCTAAAACTCCCTGCGTACTTGCCATAGTCGCGGCACTGGGGATGGAGCCCGAGCAGTATTCCTAAGGCTCCCAGCGTGCAGCCAGAGCTGAGGACACTGCCAGCAGCACCCACTTTTCCAGACTCAGTGCTCTGGACCAGTGACATGACGGGGCAGATGGTGGTCAGAGCCTAAAGGTATAGAATGGGGCTGTGCACTTGAACCAGGGAGGCCAGGGTGCAAATCCCTGCTGCTTGTGTGACCTTGGTTAACTTAGCGGTTAACTCAGAAAGGTGACTTAACCTTTCTGAGCCTTAGATTCTTCAGCCTTCATATGGGCATAATATTAACAGCATCTGCCTCACAACCTTGAGAACTGCTTGGCACTCAGCCTCAATACACGTGGATGCTTTTTTTTTTTTTACTTTTGTCTAAGCTAAAGCTGACAAAGATTCTTCTGTGAAGCTCTACCAGGCTCCTCTGGGCCCTCTTACCAACACTAGCATAGTTTCTAACAGCTCAAGGCCACAACCCTAAAATAATTCTAATCCCCCTTAATGTACCTGCCTGAGAAAACACAAGACTGCCAAAAATTTTTGCTGTTTGTCCCAGCCAACACCTGAGGTGGGGGCCCTGCCTCGAAGTCTCTTTGGGAGAGCGGGGGCCTAACCTCGCCTCGTAGACACAGCGGGCCTGACTGCACTGACATTGACCCTCGGCATTTTTCACTTCACTGACCCTGCTGCATCCACTTGTCTCCTTGTTCTGCTCCCCCACCCTCCCATGAACACACCTAGATATTCCTGCACAAACTGAAGTTGAGTTCGGTTCATGCCAGACCCTTTTCCCTATTCCAAGTAAAATATGTCCTTACCTCTAACTAGTGCCTGGCTTTGTTCACTTCTGGCAAAGCCTTTGATCTAGTACATTGTTCTCTGTTTGGGGAGGAAGACCTAGGATAGAGAGGGCGTAATGGCACTTTCAGGACATGATAGTGAGGTCTTCTCACTAGTACACCCATCCCAGGAGGGCGCAAAGCTTGGACAGAAGTCACATTCAGCTCATCTGTGAAGCACCTTTGGTGTCCCAGCACTGCGAGACGCTTCAGAGCAACACAGGGAATAGACTGCGAACTCACCTGCTCAGACCTCATGTCCAATGCTCCTCTCACTGCATCATGTGATGAAAGCCATGAAAGAGGAGCATTTCGTGGCGTCCTGGGTGGTCAGGGAGGTCATGTGTATGAGGTTCGTGCCAAGACCTGGAGGTGGACAAAAGCCTGCAGGGCCGGCGCTCAAGAGGCCCAGGCCCAGGCAAGAGCAGGGCGAAGGCCACTTCAGGGACCAGGAAAGGACCAGTGTCTCTGGAACAGAGATGGAGTGGGGTGTGGACATCGGGCAGAGCTGGAGTCAGACAGTTGACCTTAGGATGCCAGGAAACCCCTAAAGGGCCTTAGGCTTCAAGCAATAAAAATTGTTACGTACTTTTATTCCATAGATTTATTTTTTTACTTTATTTCGGCAAAATCACTTTGTCATAAACAGCATCTTCACATACTTTGGATTCTACTCTCAGCAACATCAGATTACAAAACATTTCTTGGGTCATAGTGTGATCATACTGACTTAGGGAAAAAGTTATGTTCATAGCTCTTCATTTTAATTTGGAAACACTTTGCTCCTCTGAGGCACAGCAAAAAGCAATACTTAGATTCAGAAATGAATCAGGATTTTTATGCATCATGCTTGGACATTGTAGTGGGTTAATATTACATAAGGGTTGCAGTAGAAATACAACACAATAAATAAGGGTTACTGTAGAAATGCGACAATTACTTTAATTTCATCATGAATTGCTTCCCGTGATTTTCACATATTTGAAGGGTGCCATTTGGAAAGACTTGGTATGTGTATATACTCACAAAGCCGTCTTCAAGTGAGCAGATCCCATCCCTCGTGAGGGAGTGTGCATTTAGAAGATGACCACCAAGGCTGTAAGGGTGGGCAGCAGAGCTGGGGCCAGAGGCCCGCTCTGCCCGTCCTAGTTGGGCCCTGAGGGAAACAACCCCTACGCACTCCTGGGTGTGGTGTGGCCCCGCCAGCTCCCAGCTGTGTGACCCTGGGCAAGTCACTGTATTCCTCTTCTCTCATCTGTAAAGAGTCCCCATCTTGTAAGATTGTGGGGGGTATATAAAAGTATGATAGACATGCGCACACATGTTCATGTATGTGTAAATGATTGAGTAAAAGTCCATAGGACCCAACTTGGCACAGCCCACAATAAATGCTGACCACTGTTATTTGGTGCAAAGAGCTCTGTAAATGTCTGCCTGAAAGTATCAAAATACAAAAAGCCCCAAAAGATGGAAGTCTGAACTCTCTCTCCCTTCCTTGGGACTCAGAGGAGGGAAGCAAACAGGGTGACAGGGCAAAGCTCACAAGGAAACACCTCTGTCAGGTCGGTCACATCCACAGAGGCCCGTGCTCGGCTCTCCTGAGAGGAGGGAAGGAGCTTGGTGTCCCTCATGAGCAAGGATGCCATGGCCCAAAAGGAGGTGGGCGGTGTGGGTCCAGCCAGGGGCAGGCCAGATCCAGCCCCCTCTGCACCTCGCCGCTTGGGCTGTGCGAGTCACTTTGTTGTCCTTTTGGACTAAGCTGGAGTCAGGGGTTCTGTCCCCTGCAACCAGGGGTCCTCATTTTGCAGAGGTGAGGTGACCTGGCCCAAAAGCCCGTGTCCTCCCCCTCTGCCCGAGCCCCCCAGATGCTGAGCACAGAGTCACATGGCCTCAATGCAGGTATCTCCACCTCTGAATGCCTATTGATATGCAGATGTACTAAAGCCAGGCAAGATATTCTGGAAATGTCACAATTCTACTCACACCAGGTCTGTATGACTCCAGCACTCAGGGTTCCCCACTTCCTGTGGCTGCTCACTGTCAGAAATCTCAAGGATCTAAAAGAGCTGGGAGCCCTCTTCCTAGGACAGTGCAGAGAGTGGGGACATGCACGCGAGCACACACAGGCTGCCTGTGACTTCAGGGGGTCCCCAGACTAGAGGCAAGGAGATCAGTACCACCCATGGGCTGTCTCTCTGGACTTGGCGTCACGCCCCCCTTGGCCCCGGGGCACGGTGGGGATGTTCTGCTCCTGGCCAGCAGCTCCTCCCAGGCCTCCCTAGCCCCTTGCAGACAGAGAAAACATTTCGGCCCCCACCCACGGCAGGTACAGACTTCCCCACTGACAAACTCAGGTGGGCAAACTGCAATGTTATTTTTCTGTAAGTTGATGAAAAAAACTTTTAAGTCTCTACCCCCTTCCTCCTAATGGCAGAATATTTAATCTGTCCATATCACAAAAACTCTGTTGTTCTCAGATTTACAACTAAGTCAGGTCCCGGCAGGGCCAGTCCAAGAGGTTTGTCGCAGAGCCAGACCGACTCAGGAGCCCACAGCCCCGGCGTAGGTTGTGCGATGCAGCCACATCTGTGACAGCAAAGGACCTCGGTGTCCTTCCTGTGGGCGAGTAAAACCCCACTGGCCCTTCTGCGGGCGGCGGCCCACAAAAGAGAGCAAAAGGGGGCTCTTAAAACGCCGTGAAAAGTTCTCCAGCAAATGTTGTCCAGTGTAAGAAGAAAGGGACAAAATGTACACTGAGGCTCCCCATTTGTTTATTTTCAAATATCTCTAGAACGACATCCTGCTCAGTGCGTCCACCTGGCTCACGGGGAATGGCTGCCCCATCACCTCCCCACGTGCACTTGGAGCTGACAGCCCCCTTGGCCTGCCTCCAAGTCTCACCCTCAAGATCCCAGCAACTAAACTGAGGCCCAGAGAGGAGCAGGGGGCTGCCCTAGGTCACAGGACACATGCGGGGAGTGCAATGGAAGATTCAGGTCTCAAAGCCAGACTCCAGACCTCCTGTCCGGGGTGCCTTCAGTGGCACTGCAGGCAGCACCCCAGGGCCTAAGGTCCAGGTCCAGAATTTTCCCGGAGATGGCCACGCTCTTTCTCAGCTACCTGCTCCCACCGGGTAAGACAGCACTGGGGACATCTCATAGAAATCACCAGCACCTCCTTGCACAATTTATCCCAGGTCAAATCATGTTGACTAGAGCCTCAGAATGTG